TACTACTACTACTACTACTAATAATAAGAATAATAATAATATAATAATGGTATTAATAATCATTATAATAGTAATAGAAATTGTTCGCCTAAAATCCCCCCTGTGGGGGGGGACAGACCCGACCGAATACTAAAGGGGGCTCTGTCCATCCCCGGCGGGGCCGCCCAGAGTGCAGGGCACCTCGGGCCGTCCCTGCGGCCCCGCGGAGGCCCGCCTGCCGCCGCCTCTCCCCGAGAGGCGCCACAGCGAGAGAGGCGCCGGGCCGCCCGCGGAGCCGCGGCAGGAGAGGGGGGGGGAGCGGTGCGTGCGGCGCGCTCTCTCTCTCTCTCTCCTCCTCCTCCTCTTCCTCCTCCTCCTCCTCCTCCTTCCTTCCTCCCTCCTCCTGCTTCCATCCTCCTCCTCCTCCTCCTCCTCCAAAAAAAAATCCTCTCTTCTCCTCCTCCCCCTCCTCCTCCTCCTCCTCCTCCTCCTCCTCCTCCTGCTCCTCCTCCCCCTCCTCGTCCTTCTCCTTCTCTTCTTCCTCCTCCTCCTCCTCGCGCAGGGCGGGCGACGCGGCCTGTTCCGAGCATCCCGCGCCGCGCCGCGCCCGATGCGCGACGCAACGCTCGGCGCTCTCCTCGATCTCGAAGTGGCCAGAAGTCCTCGGAGGGCATCGAGGAGGAGGGAGCCTCGGAGGAGCCTCAAGACCCAAGACGCCGCTAGCAGGAAGGGGCGAAAAGCGGTGCCTCATGGGGGGCCCGCAGAGGAGGAACGGCGAGGGGCGCTGGGCATGGAGGAGCGCGGAAGCGCAGAGCCCGAGGGGGCAAGCACTTGGGACCTGGGTCTTTTAGCCCCCCAGTCCTCCTCCTCCTCCTCCTCCTGCTGCTGCTGCTCCTCCTCCTCCTCCTCCTCCTCCTCCACCTCCTCCTCCTCCTCCTCCTCCTGCTCCTCCTCCTCCTTCCTCCCCTCCTCCTCCTCTTCTCTTCTCCTCCTCCTCCTCCTCCCCCTCCGCCTCCTCCCACTCCTCCATTCCCCTCCTCCTCCTCCTCCTCCTGCTCTCCTCCCCCTCCTTCTCCTCCTCCTCCTCCTCCTACCCTACTCCTCCTCCCCCTACCTCCTCCTCCTCCTCCTCCTCCTCCTCCTCCTCCTCAGCCGCCCTCTCCGCAGTGGAAGGCGCCCTCCACCACGCCGCAGCGACGCTGGGGCGGCGGTGGTGGTGGAGAGGCCACAGCTATCATGAACGAGGGAGGCCCCCCCGAGTCCAGGGCGGAGGCCGAGGGCCTGCACGGGCAACAGGAGGGGGGGCCGACGAGGGGGGCCCTCGCGACAGGGCGGAGCACGGGGCAGCGAGGGAGCCCGAGGGCCCCTCAGAGGCGAGAGGGAGGAGCTTCCAGGGCGGCAAGGAGGGGCGGGGCCCTGAAATTGAGGCAGGCTGAGGCATCCGTAGGAATCCCTAGGAATCCTTAGGAATCCCTAGGGATCCTTGGGACTCCGTAGGCATCCTTAGGAATCCGTAGGCATAGTTAAGCATCCTCAGGAATCCTTTGGAATCCTTAGGATTCCTCAGGAATGCTTATGAATCCCTAGCGTGGGATGCCTCAGGATCCTGGGCTGGGTCGGGCGGCGCCCCGCGGCCGCGGGGCCCCGCCCCTTCTTCTCGGTGCCCCCTCTGGGCTCGCCGCCGATCGACGTGCCAGGGGTGCACGGTGGCGGATGACCGGGGTCTTCTGCCAGAGCGCGATCGAGAGCGCCGCGCACGACCACGAGCTGCTCGTCCAGTCCCAGATTCTGGACAAGGCCCACTACGTCAGCCGCGCCAAGTCGCTGTTCCAGGAGATCGACAAGGGCGAGTCTGGCATCATCACCATCGCGGAGTTGGAGCAGCGGCTGCAGGACTCGGAGGTCCGCGACTGGCTGCAGTCGCTCGAGATCGACGCCGACGACGCCTGGACGCTGTTTAAGTTGATCGACACCGACCAGTCGAACATCATCGACATCGAGGATGGGCGGCGCGCCACAGGGGTGATGGGCGTGTTTACCACCACCACCACCACCACCACCACCACCACCACCACCACCACCACCACCACCACCACCACCAGAAGTTGGATGGGGAAAGAAGGTGGTGGATGAGGAGGAGGAATAATTGGAGGAGGAGAAGGAGGAGGAGGAGGAGGAGGAGGAGGAGGAGGAGGAGGAGGAGGAGGAGGAGGTGAGGGGGAGGGAGGAGGAGGAGGAGGAGGAGGAGGAGGAGGAGGAGGACACGCTATTTGCGCTCGCGTCATATCTGACGTCCTACCCCTCCCATCCCTTACCATGGCGCTGATTTTGTCGATCCGCGGACGCGTGTCGTAGCGGACCTGTGGCTCCGCGCGCGCGTGCGTAGTGGGTGGTGGTGCGCGTGCGTGCGTGCGTGTGTGCGCGGTTGTGGTGGTGGTGGTGGTGGTGGTTGTGGTGTGTGTGTGTGTGTGTGCGTGTGTGCGCGTGTGCTGTAGTGTGACGTGGTGTGGCGTCTTGGTGGTTTGGTGGTGGGCCAGGTGCGTGCGTGCGTGATGGCGGTGGTGGTGGCGGTGGTGGTGGCGTGTGTGTGTGTGTGTGTGTGCGTGTGTGTGCGCGTGTGTGTGTGTGTGTGTGTGTGTTGTGTGTGTGTGTGTGTGTGTGTGTGTGTGTGTGTGTGTGTGTGTGTGTGTGTGTGTGTGTGTGTGTGCGTGCGTGCGTGCGTGCGTGCGTGCGTGCGTGTTTGTCTGTGTGCGCGCGCGCGTGTGATGTGGTGTGACGCGGTGTAGCGTGGTGGTGGTGGGTGGGGTAGTAGGGTGGTGGTGGCATTGCGCGGTGGTGGTGCGCGTGCGTGCGTGCGTGCGTGCGTGCGTTGGTGGGTGGAAGTGGCGGTGGGCGGGGCGGGGCGCGCTGCGGTGGTGGCGGGCGGATGGGCGCGCGAGAAAGAGGCCCGTGCTGGGGCGAGAACGCCATCCTGAACGACGGAGGCAAAACACCGATCCCCCAAAAAGGCCCACGCTGCAGCGGGAGCACGATTCGGAACGAGCGGAAGCCCGACAATGAGGCTGGCGCCTCAGCGAGAGCAGCATTTTGAAAAAAACCCAGCGAAAACCCAACTCCAGGGAATCCTGTGCGTCCAAAACCAGTACGCGGAGGGGTGCCCGCCATCTTCCGCACGCCATCAGGGGAAGGAGGAGAGTGTATTCATATTGAGTAATTGTGGAGGAGGAGGAGGAGGAGGAGGAGGAGGAGGAGGAGGAGGAGGAGGACCCCCTCCCCCTCCTGCTTCTGGTGGTGGCGGTGGAAAGCAAGCCCGCCAAGGGGGGCAAGGCAGAGGGGGCGCCTTCCCTCGGAGAGGTGTCCAGAGAGCTTCCTCCGGGGGCACGCAGGGGGGCCCCTCGGAAGGCCGGGGGGCTTCTGCGAGGGCCTGACCCCTCGGAAGGCCGGGGGGCTTCTGTGAGGCTGGGGGGCTTCTGCGAGGGCCTCACCTCCTCCTCCTCACTTCCTCCTCCTCTTCCTCCTCCTCCTCCTCCTCCTCCTCCTCCTCTCTCCCACCCTCCACGGGTCCATCTCGATCCGATCCATCCGCCTCGATGTGGGCTCCCGGCCGGCCCGATTGGTTCGCTTGGGAGTTCCGTTCTGCGGGCGGTCCCGGTGAGGCCCGAGACCCGCACGGCGCTGCTCTGCTTCCGGGCGCCGCGGAGTCGATGCGATCCTGGCACCCGGCCGATGCGGTCCGACTCGATGCGCGTTCCGATCCGAGACTGACTCCTCCTCCTCCTCCTCTTCCTCCCCCCCTCCTCCTTCTCCTCTTCCCCTTCCTCCTCCTCCTCCTCCTCCTCCTCCTTCCTCCTCCTCCTCTCCTCCTCCTCCTCCTACTCCTCCTCCCTCTCCTCCTCCTCCTCCTCCTCCTCCTCTCCTCCTCCTCCCTCCTCCTCCTCCCTCTCTCCCTTCCCCTCCTCCCTCTCCTCTCCTCCTCTCCTCCTCCTCCTCCTCCTCCTCCTCCTCCTCTTCCTCTCCCTCTCCTCCTCCTCCTCCTCCTCCTCCTCCTCCTCCTCCTCCTCCTCCTCCTCGGTGCTGTGCTGCCTGCTCCTGCCCTCGGCGCCCCGCCGAGAGGAGTTCGTGATGGGCTGCCTGCGCCTGAAGGGCACCGCGCGCAGCATCGACATGCAGCGCCTCCTGTACGAGCAGCGGGGCCTCATCACGAGGCAGACACACTTCTTCAGAGCCCCGAATCATCAGGGGTAACTCGGGTCAGGGCTAACTCGGGTTCGTTTTTCGGGATTCCGAACCCGACTTACCCCGGACCCGAGTTACCCCGGATAATTCGGACGTCCAGAGCCCCAAAATCGTCAGGGGTAACTCGGGTCAGGGCTAACTCGGGTTCCTTTTTCGGGAATCCAAGCCCGAGTTACCCCGGACCCGAGTTACCCCGGATAACTCGGGCGCCCAACTTCTAGGCCTCTCAGCTGGGGTCGGAGTAGATTCGGGCCGGACGAAAGGGGGGGATTGGGAAAGGGGGGGTCACAAAATTTGCTGCATGCAGCTGGTTTCGGCCCCACCGGGCACATTCCTCGATACATAGTCGCCTCCGGCGCCGGGAGGCGCCGGGAAAATCAGCTACGTGAGCTGATTCTCACACCCCCCCTTTGCTATCCCCCCCTTTCGCCCGACCCGATAGATGGGGTCGGAGAATCGCGCCGCATCGCCGATGCATCGGCGATGCGGCTCGATGTGGAGCCCGAGCTTCTCCATGCCGGCGTCGCCAGTTCGTCGCCGACGCTGCCAGTGCATGGCCGATGCATCGGCGATGCGGCGCGGTCCTCCGACCACATCTCCTCCGACCCCATCTAGGAGGACTCGAGACACACTGCACGAGCAGACTGAAGTCGGGCCTGTCCCTCTACATGGGGGCATGTTCAAAAGTAGTCCAAAATATTTGTTTCTCATATTTTTATGGAATACTTGTTTCTCATAATTTTCAACCCTTCGTCCCAAGTCCGCCTGTAGGGGGACATGCCCGACACAAGAGCAGACACCTTCGGAGGTCCGCGCGGAATTCTCGGAGCGGCGCCGAAGCCCCGTCCGAGATCCCGGGGCTGGACCCGAGCGGTGTTTCGGCCATCTCGTGGACACGTTGTGTTTTGCACTAGAGGCGAAGCGAAGACAGAACGCCACGAAGACGAAACACACCGCTCAGGTTCAGCCCTGCGACGTGCAGGCGCCTCAAGTCTCCAAAGCTGGTCATCTTCGCCTGAGCTCTGGCCCTGGGACGCTGACGGATCGATGCGGCTCGAAAGTTTGCCAGACAAATGGGGCCTGGGGCTCTGGTCGTGATTTGTGTCCGATGTTTTTATGGTCTCGCCACGTAAGATCGAAGGTCACGCCGGGCCTGTCCTAAAGGAGGAATAGTCAAGAACAGTCAAGACATAGTATAGGGACGATGTTCTGACCAATTCTGTAAAGTTTTGTGCATGTTTTGACGGTCTTCTTTTTCGTCAAAAATCCGTAAGGTCTAAGGTTCAGTCGGGCCTGACCTACAGTCGGTTTCGTCTAAATCCGAAAGGGCGGGCCTTCTCAGAAGTCTCGGAAGTCCCCCGGCCTTCTGAGAAGTTTCCTAAGCCTTCCCCGAAGACAAGAAAAACTTCTCAGAAGGCGTGAGGGTTTCTGAGAAGTCCCGCCGCCGTCTGAGAAGGCCTTCTCCTTCTCATTTACTCCCCTCGCCCGCCGCCTAGCACTGACCCGGGCTTGGGTGCACGATCATGCAGGGTTCTCTACAGGATCCTGCAGGGTCAAGGTCGCACTGACCCCGGTTTGGGTGCAGCATCCTGCAGGATCCTGCAGGATCCTGCAAGGCTTGTCTGACCCGGGTCTGGATTGACCTGGGTCAGCAGGTCCCCGACCAATGGGGGGGCGGTGAAACAATCAATACTGAGCGTTTTTGTTCTTCATTCTTTTGCCGATCGGCGCGGGCCCTAGCACCCCCCCCCCCTCCCCCCCCTTGGCGGAGTAGGTCTTGGCTGCTCTTGGCGCCCGTTGCACGCGGGCGGAGGCTCCCCAAGAGGAGGCACGGTTCCACAAGCGGTCGCACTACAGTGCCGCTTTTAATACATGCTCCGCGTGCGGACCATGTATTGAAAATGCAGGGTGTTTGTATTGAGCACAACGATGAGTTCATGCATAGAGTTATCCATACATTCTAGTCATGCATTAAAATCCTAAGTAAAAAAAAAAAACTCTTACGTATCAAAAACCTGCCCTGTAGGCAGAGGTGCGGCGCCGGACCCCCCCCCCCCCCCCCTTCCGCCCACTGTCGAAACGCCGAACAAGAGAACGCTCTCGTGGTTCGCCTGCGCAAGCTACTGCGCGTGCTCTTGCGCGAAGTACGGTCGGACGCGCGACTTTGCTCAGGGTAGCCATGCGTCCTTGCTCTTCCTTGCTCTTGTGTCCTTGAGGTTTTCGTCGTCCACCGCCCCAAAAATCCCAACTTCGGCTTCCAAGGGTCTTGCGTCCTTACCGCGCGTCCTTATTAGGGTTTTTGACTGTATTGCTGGGGGGCGCGCACAATTGCAAAGGGGCGAGAACCCGTGCGTTTGAAGGAATACACGACTACATCCACGCGCAATTAATATATTCCGTCCAGACCGCAACTTGCTGCATCCATGCAAGAACTACTGCAAGGACAAATGCACCCACTCTGGCCCCCCCATCTGTGCTAACCTCAGAAGGTCTCTAGTTTTGAGGCCCCCCCCCCACCCCTGTTTCTATCGGCGGGGAATAAACTCGCCGCTTCTCCTCCTCCTCCTGCTCCTCCTGCTTTTTCGTCTCCTCCTACTCTTCCTCCACCTGCTCGTGGTCGTTATCGTAGTCGTCGTTGTCGTCATCGTCGTCGCGGCGGAGATTATGTACCCTCTATTTGTTGGGCGGGCGGGATGATGTTGAGGGGCTTCCCCCCCCTCGGAAAAAAAATCCAGTATCGGGATACCCTGCACGCGAGAGGATGTGGGAACGTCTTCTCATGAGTTGTTTGCAATAGGAGTCAGGGGTTGCGGTTGTGTAATTCCAGTCGTGGTTGTGATCGTGATTGTACTCGTGATTGTAGTCGTTATTGTAATTGTAATCGTAGTTGTGGTTGTAGTCGCAAGCGTAGTCTCAATTGTAGTCGTCATCGTCGTTGTACCGGCTGATAGTAGTTTCCCTCTATTGTTGTGCGGTTTGGGTAATGTTGGCGGATTCTTCCTCACCGGGAGTCATCAGTGTTGCCTACCCTAACGCGAGAGCATCCGTGAGCATCGTTTCATGAGGATTGCAATATGAATTAGTGGTTGTGCTTGTATTCGTTGTTGTAACCGTGATTCGCATCGTGGTTGTAGTAGCGATTCTAGTCGTAATCGCAGTGGTGGTTGTAGTCATCGTCGTCATATTGTGGTCGTAGTCGCAATCGTAGTCGGGGTCGTCGTCGTTGTGCGGCGTGTGTTCCGGAGAAACAGTTTTCCATTATTGGTAGGACCGCGGTCCGTTAATGGTGGCGTCACAAAGATCATTCGTTTCCACTGTTGGTCGGGTAAGACCTATGAGCTCCGAAAGTTTATGTGTGTTGTCAGTTTGTCTCCCTCGTTCGTCAAGCGCGTGCTCCTCTTCATGTCGGAGGTCGCTGGCGCCACCAGCGCAGAGGACCCGCGGGCCTTGCGCATGAGCTCCGACGTGAGACCCACGTGGAGCTGAGGGTAGGAGGAGGAGGAGGAGGAGGAGGAGGAGGAGGAGGAGGAGGAGGAGGAGGAGGAGCAGGAGCAGGAGGAGGAGGAGAGGAGGAGGAGGAGGGGAGGAGAGGAGGAGGAGAGGAGGCGGAGGAGGAGGAGGAGGAGGAGGAGAATGAGGAGGAGGAGGAGGCAGAGGACGGCCCAGGGAAGCAGGACACGGAAACGGGGTCCCCAGAGAGGGTCCCCGGGGGGCGCCTTGCGCCACCCGTCCGCGCCGGGCCCCTCTGTGCGGGAGGCGGCGGTGCGGATGCGGGATCGCCGCATGGCGTTGCGTGAGGCGGCGGAGGAGGAGGTGGAGGAGGAGGAGGAGGTGGAGGAGGAGGAGGAGGAGGAGGAGGAGTCCGGCGCCCAGGGTCGGTCTCCCGAAGGCTGGCCGTGTATTGCACACGCCCAGCCAACGAATTACCGCCCAGAAAGCAGCAAAAGCTGCGCAGGAAGGGTATAGGGGGTGACCACGTCGCCTGTGAAGACTCGCGGCCCAGCGGTTCCGACATCCCAGTCGGAACAGCTGGCACGGCATACTGAAGAGCACAAGCTCCCCAGCCCTAGGTGGGCACAATGCCCCTTGGGACTCACGTGGCACAAGCCACCGCCTCCCGAGGAAATGCCGATCCCTGAGGGTCAGATCACAATGAAATGACCGCACAGGCGCCGCTACCCGCCTTCACCAGCAGGGCCAGGCTGAGACTGGGGCCGTGCTACACCGAACGACGGGAGACCCGTCGATACAGGTTTCGCAACGTCCACTCCAAGCCCCAGAGCCCGCGGTTCCAGAAAAATCGGCCAATTGCACCCCGCCCAACCTGCGAAATAAGTGCCGTGTACAGTGTGCCCCGAGGGTGCACGGCACTGACACCATGAAAACAGGTGCCAGGCCTCACCGGAGGGGGGCGGAGGAGGAGGAGGAGGAGGAGGAGGAGGAGGAGGAGGAGGAGGAGGAGGGTAGCAGGACGCGGTGGAGAGGGGGAGGAGCAGAGAGAATGGTAGCAGACGGGATGGATAGGAAGAGCAGGAGTAGGAACGGTAGGAGGAGGAGGAGGAGGGGAGAGGAGGAGGAGGAGGAGGACGGGAGGAGGGGGAGGAGGAGGAGGATGAGGAGGAGGAGGAGGAGGAGGAGGAGGAGGAGGAGGAGGAGGAGGAGGAGAAGGGAAGCAGACGGGTGAAAGAGGAGGAGGAGGACGAGGAGGAGGAGAAGCAGGCGGACGAGTAGGAGGAGAAGGAGGAGGACGAGGAGGAGGAAGATGAGGAGCCGCTGGAGGCGGCTCCCCGGTCCAGGGCGTGCCCGCCGCAGGGGCACAGTCGGGGCCAAGGCTCAGAGGAGGGTCGACCGTGACCACGGCAGCTGGCCTTCGGGGGGCCCCCTGGCGGCCTCGGCTGGACGCCGCTCGGGAATCTCGCGCGTGTGGTTCCCGGGAGGGGCACAGAGGAGGGCCGGCAGTTGGCCTTCGGGGGGGGGGGGGACCTCGTGGTCTCAGCTGGGCGCAGCTCGGACAGCTGGGGCGTTTGGGGCCCCTGGAGAGGTCCGGGGGCCGACGTTGAGCTGCCGATGTCTCTCCTCCTCCTCCTCCTCCTCCTCCTCCTCCTCCTCCTCCTCCTCCTCCTACTCCCTCGGAGAGGTCCGGGGGCCGACGTTGAGCTGCCGTTGTCTCCGCTGGCCCTGCTCCGAAGAGCGCGTCGCCCTCCAGCCACTTCTGCTGAGCTTCTCTTGGGCGCTCCGGCACCACCCGGCCTCGCCCCCTCGCGTGGGCTTTCTTGCGGGCAGCGTCCGCGTCCGCGAGCCCTCTGCGGCTTCTTGCGGGGGGCCCGCACAACGGTGCGCCTCGGGCTGGCCGGAGCTTCCAGGGCCCCCAAATTGGGGAAACCAAAGGATAACGGCCCCCCTAATTACCCCCCAGACCTTTCCTGAGCTGCGTTCTGACCAGGATTTCGAGGCGAATCCAGCGGGGACGGCGGCCTCCCAGGAGGCCCAAAGGGAAAACGAGCGAAGGGTAGCGGTATGGGCGCCTTTCCTCCTCCGACCTGGACCGTGCGGTGAGGTTTGTGGGAGTTCCGAGGTCACCCCAAGGTCTGTCACCGCACCGTGTCGGGAGCTTCCATGCCCGCGCCCCTCGCCGGAGCCCCAGCACTGGGCCCTCTGGGGCCCCGCGCGGTTCGGTGCGGTCGGAGTTTAGGATGCGCTCCCGGAAGGTTGAATTCCGCATAGTCGGCGCTGGTATACCTCGGCGGCGAGCGAGGGGGGGAAATGAGAAAGAGAAGGCCCTCTCAGAAGGCGGCCGGGCTTCTCAGAATCCCTCGGGCCTTCTGAGAGGTTTTCTGTGTCTCCGGGGAAGGCTTAGAAAACGTCTCAGACAACCAGTGTGCTTCCGATCCTTCTGAGAAGGCCCGCCCCGTCTCACTTCCCCCGGGCACGCCGCCGAATATCGGTGGCTGCAAACGGGCCCAATCTGGCTCAGTTCAGTTTGATCTGGTTTCATCCCCGCGTTGTCCAGATTGTTCCCGCGCAGCTCGGCTCAACCCCAGGCTACTCTGGCCGAGTCTGGCCGGACCCACCTATTTTGGCCTACGAATCCCTGAATCGGGCTGAACGGCCTTCAATCGTTTGTTCGACGACCTCCCGGTAGCTGCCTCCCCAGGGTTCGAAGCAGTAAAAACCACGTAACTATAAACTTTTGGCGCTCCGCGCGAACTTCTTGGATCCGCGCTGGGTCCTCCTGGCGACACCTCCGGCGCCGCTCCTGGCGCGCTCCGCGCGCCAGGGAGGGAGGTCCGGCGCGGATCCAAGAAATGCGCGCGGAGCGCCCAAAGTCAATGTTTATGTGTTTTTTCCTTCTTCTAAAAGACATAGCCTCGGGATACTAGATCTGGGCGGTTTGATTCGATGCATCTGCAGTAGAAGACTCCTTGTCCCTGATGTTTCTGGCCCTCCTAACTTAGGTTCCCTCCCAAAGGATTCGAGGTCCCTTTATTGCTAATCATTCTTCACGGAGGAAGACAGCGGCACCACCACTTCAAGGGGGGCCAGGTCCGGGGCGAGGGGTCCACGATGCTTCCCCGCGCAGTGGACGGCGGCTGTCTCGAGCGAGCGGGGGGGGGAGGCACACCACTCGAGCAGGAGACCAACTGCTAAATTGGTTTACCCCATAACGGTTTTCTCGTCGAGTGTACAACACAATCGTATGATGTTCGTGCAATCTTCGTAGATTCGGCAAACAAAATTCTTCACGCTTCGCGCATCCCCACCAGCCCCTACACCGACTGGGCCGATGACGTGACCCTGATCAGCGCCGCCTCCCACCGTTGCCTTGCGTTTCCACCCCGTGGACTGCGCTGCACGGTCTCGGAGTATGACGGGCACTCGGTCCTTCTTCGTTGCTCCCACGCGCATTCAGTTGTGCGACCCTCCCTGGGACTCTGTGACCGTGAGGGACTTGCTGTCTTGGGTATACGACAGTTGCTGTCCTTCGAGCGCTTCCCCGACTTGGCTGCGTGGGTCGCTTGGCGCTGATGTCACTTAGTCGTTTGGTGCACGCCCACCCCCGAGTGACCTTGTGTTCTCACAGGGTGGTTACTCGTGTACTCCTGCTGCGTCATACCAGACCCCTGGTCTTCTGCGCGCAGGCGCATCTCAGCAGTCGTTCGGCGTTTGCCTTTGCCGGTTCGGCCTCAGGCTCACCCTATCTGCCGCGGATGCGTTTTCTGAAGCTGCGACGGTTCGCTGGCGCTGTCAGAATCCCCCTCCTTGCTGGACGACGTCAACCAGTTTCGGTCTGCTCATACCCGTCAGACTCCCTGGACTGACTTTCTCGCACGGAGTTCGGCTCCCACCACCACGCGGTTGTCTCGGCACGACCACGACTGGGAACGCACTGCGCGCCATTTTGGCTGCGCCTGGCTTGCTCCTGGGTGACTGACTCCTCAGACTCCCTGGGTTGCAGCTTGCACGACCGCCTCAGGTGACTGACCCCTCAGACTCCCTGGGTTGCACTTTGCACGACCGCCTGGCCTCTCAGACGCCCTGGGTTGCTGCCCCTCCCGCCGCCTGATCCGCGGCCCCCGCGCGCGCCCGGGAATTTAGTCGCGGCCGCAGCCCGACCGTGACTGCTCGCCGCCGGCGCTTCCGCCTGCGGCTGTAAAAAAAAAAAAAAAACATCCCCACCAGCCCACTCAGAGACCCTGACCTTGAGAGCTGACGGGAGAAGGGATGAAGAGACACATCTATTCAAACAAAGCGTTCTTGGGCGCCTCTTGGGCCCCTCTTGGAGTTCTTTTCCGCCATCTTGGGGCTCGGTGCCCTCTTCGGGCTCGTCGAGGGGTCTTGGAGTTATCTTGGAACTTTTTGGGGGGGTATCGGGTTGGGGCCCTCTTGGGGCCCTCTTGGAGCTCTCTTTGGGCTCTGTTGGGGGCCTCTTGGGAGCCCTGGAGGGCCTCTTGCGGCTGTCGTGGAGGGTGTCGGTGAAAAGAGGAGGGTGCTAACGCTTAGTCCTCCGTTCTGGGTCATCAAGATAGCAGATTGGGACGCGCTTGCCCCCCTCATGGGGCGCTCTTGGGCGGTCTTGGGGCTGTCTTGACTGCATCTTGGGCCCCCATTGGAGCTTTTTGGGGCCGCTTTGGGGCCACCTTGACGCCCAAAATTCATCGGAAGCGAAACGGCGAGAAGGCAAACATCACTGATTTCCCTAAGTGTTTGAAGGATTGTGGCTTCTCAGGGAGGTCCTGAGGACTCTTTGACGGCACGCGGAGCCGTCTTGTGGCCCTCTTGCGGCGTCTTGGAGGCATGGTGGACGTCATCCTGGGCGATCTTGCGCTGTCTGGGGCCCTCTTGGAGGCCATCTTCGAGCATCGGGTGCCTTCTTGGAGCAATCCTGAGTGAAAAAAAGCCCTTTAAGGACTCGCGACCCCCCCGTCCAGACCCCTGGGAGGCGAGGGGGGGGGGGAGGGTACCCCTCCCCGAAGGGAAAGGGGGGGTTTGGAAGAATAA